AGGGAGAGGCTGCAGTAGGGCACGGGTGCTCCGTCCACGTGGGGCAGGAACTGCTCGGGAGAGAGGGGCCCGTGGGGCCGCCGGCTCAGCCGCCGCAGCTGCCGGGTAGGCACATGCGCCAGGATGGCCTTCCATGTGCCTAGCAGGTGGGCTATGGCGCTGCGCTGCTGCCACAGATGGCCGAGCCGTGAGCTGGGGCCAGGTGTCGGGGAGGGCGGGTGTGGGCTGCTGGGGGGCTTGGGTCCCTGCTGCTGGGCGCGCCGGGCCTCCAGGGTCCTGCAGGCAGCCGTCCTGAGCGCAGGTGTGTAGGCCGAGCGCTTCCAGTGGCCGAGGAAGAGCGTGACGATGCGCTCCTTGCGCAGGTTGGCTATGTCCGGCCTGGGCAGCACGCCTGCCTCTGTTGCGGCCTCCTCACAGCTGATGCCTGAGTCGCTGGCCTCCTCTGCATCTCCTGGCCCGGGCTCACCCCCGGCCGGCCCACCTCTGGGGTGCGGCTCTGCCGGCCAGCAGCCTCCGGTGCACTGTGCGGGGCGGGCACAGAGGCTTGGGCTGGGGACGCAGGACGGGCAGGCGTTGGGGACTGACTCGAAGTGGCCACGCAGTGTCTGCACAGACACACCCCAGCCCTGGATCTCCCGCTGGGCCTCGCTGCGGGCCAGGCCTACCGGGACCTCCCTGCCGGTGTCCTTTGGAGCCGGTGCAGCTGCAGGCTCCTCCCCCTGCGCCAGCCCATTCACACCCTTCAGCAGCAGCGACAGGCTGCGCACCACACGGCCAATGTGGACACACCAGAAAGGCAGCGGGTGCCCGCCTGGCTCAGCCATGCCGGCCTCTGAAGAATCCTCAGGCTCAGCTGCCTGTGCTGGGCCACTCTGGTCATCCAGCCCAGGTGCCCGGGGCAGGAAGTGGCTGTTGACAGTGATGCTGACCAGTGGCTCGGGCAGCAGGGCCTGCAGCTCGGCTGCCAGCCGGCCCAGCTGGCTCTCGTACTCCTGGCAGCGACGCCGCAGCTGCAGGTCCGCAATCTGCTTCTCCAGGTAAACCAGGTCGTCCTCCGTCAGCAGCTCCCCAAAAGGGCCCAGGATGGCCTGGTGTATCTGCGAATACCGCCAGGGCGCCGGCTCTGCAGGGCCTGCACTCCTGCTGCCACCATCCTGGGCACAGGAAGGGTTGGTCACCAGAGCTCTGCCCCACACTGGGCATCACTCTCCAGGGTGGCTGGGTTCTAGTCCCCCTGCCAGGATCCTCGCCCAGCCTCTGATGCACTGGCTGGGTCTTGCCTGGCCTTAGAAAGCATAAGCCATGGTGCCCCCGTAGGCTGAGGCAGGAGAATCACAAGTTGGAGCTCAGCCTGGGCAAATGAGTCACTTAGTGATACCCTATCTCAAAAAATAAAAAAGACTGGCAATACAGCCAAGTGTGACGGCCCTGGTTCAGTCCCCAGGACTGCAGAAAAAAGAAAAGAGCAGAGCAAAGCAAGCCAGAAGGTTGCTGGAGGTGGAGGCTGGCAGGGCAGAGTCCCCTGGAGGAGGTGAGGAGAGCCGCCCTGCCCCACCATGCCCCGCCCCACCCTGCCCCCAAGTCCTCCTCTGGCCCCAGCCCCTGTGTCCAGGGCCAGAGCACTCCTAGTCCTCAGGCAGCTCTGCTGCCCTGTGTTTGTCACAGCCCTGGAGCTGAGGACTGGGGCCTCAGCCACTTCTCTACCCACCACTGCCTTCCCCACCCCATCCCCACTGGGTTCCTGGGTAGTGTCTACTGCAAGGTCCAGCATGGTGGTTGCTGGTTTTCAGTAGCACAATCAGCCTGGCCCTGTACCCAGCTCTCCCCGACATCTGGCAGGAGGGAGCTTTGCCACATCCAGCCACCCTGCTCTGCCCTAACCAGAGATAGTGGGAGCCCACAGCAGCCATGGCGCTGGCCAGAACACATGGCCAGGACACGTGGCTGGTGCCGTGGGGGCTTTTCCCTGCTCACCGTCACTCAGTGCAAGTGGCTGGTCTTGCTGCGGGGATTGCACAGCTGAGACCAAGGACACAGTACTCTGGCTTTGAGGTGTCTAGGATGTCTAGGGCATCTACGGCCCTGCCCCCACCCCTGCCCTTGCACCTGGGCCTCCGTGGCGCTGTCCTCCTCGCCCAGGCGGGCCTGCAGCTGTCGTACCATCACCTGCCGCTTCCACTCGGGGATAGGTCGGCCCTGCTCGTCTCGCGTGGGCACCAGTCCATCCAGGTCCCCCGAGGACAATCCTTCCAGCTGCAGTGCAGCCAGGCTGTTGGGGATATCTTCCAGAGCCACCTCTGCCCCCTGTGCAGGTGGGGACCCAGACCTGAGCTTGGGACCCAAATGTGCAGTCAACATGTCCAGGGTGAGGCAGGAGCACCATGCCACCCCTGTGGCCCCCAACCTGAGGGCAAGGACCTCTCAGTTGGGGCCCAGCTGTGGGTTTCTGCTCAGAGAAGCAGCCAGACTCCTCCTTCTCCGGTGGCCCAGCAGAGGGGGCCCATACATGCTGTGAGGCAGAGAGGGGACTACAACATGGATAAAGTCTGCCTGCTGGTCCTGCGCTGTGGGATTCATCAGAGCCTTTCCTGTGCTGTGTGTGCTCTGAGGCATTGCCCAGCCTGCCCATTGCTCATTCCAGGAAAGGCTGGGCAGAGAGGGAGTGGAGACAGCAGCCCCAACCTTGAGGGAGTGGCTGCGGCCCTGCTGGAGGGGCTTCTGGACAGCAGAGCACCTTGGCTCAGGAAGCTGTAAGGGGCCAGCTGCTGGGGCTCCCGGGTAACAGAGAAGCATCCCTCACTTTCTGCTGCTGTGGCCTGATGTCCCTTGTGCTCAGAACCAAGCTACCCTGTGCCCTAACTGGCTGGGACTTACCTCAGTGGGGACACTCGGGAGCATGGTGCAGGCTGTCGGCTCCCTCAGGATGGGCTGGCCGGGCCATGCTGGGCTCAGTGTTGCTGCTGCTGAGAGGTGGAGGGGATCAGGCAGAGCTAAGGAGATCTGGCCTCAGGACAGTTGGGTGCCCGCCAGAACCGGGTCAGGAGTGAGGCATCCATGACAGCTGGAGGTGCCCAGGGCCACCTGCACCCTACCCCTCATCTGCACCTGGCATCCTCCTGAGCCTGGAGACCCCAAAACGTCTCCCTACACATCCTGTGTCAGGGACATGGGCACAGGGGTATATGAGGACACGGGGCCAGGACACAGGAGTGCACACATCCACACAAGTGTGCACAGACACAGCTTACATGTGCAAAGACACAGGTAAACACTCACAGGTGCACACAGACACACAGACTGGTACATGCATGCATGCTCACACACACAGGCTGCCACATACAACCACACCACAGCTGGGTGGCCCTGGGCCCTAGGCCCTGGGCCTCTTTGATTTTGGAGCTGCTGCCATGTCCCTGCTCACCCAGTTTCCTCTGCTAGGTGCTGGGTGCTGTCTTCTCTGGGCTACCACCCACAGGGAAGGACTCCTCCATGGCCAGCTCCACAGCAGCCAGGGGACACCGCACTGACCACACCCGCCCCTGCCGAATGTGTGTCATGTCTTTTTTGTTTGTTTGTTTGTTTCTCTTTTTGCAGTACCAGGGATTGAACTCATGACCTCGCGCTTGCCAGGCAGGTGCTTATGCTGCTGAGCTAAATCCCCAGCCCAACGTGTCATGTCTTTTAAAAAGCAGCAGAGACCCCAAGGAAAATCCCAAGTGTGGCAGAGGACAAGAGGTGGCCCTGTGAGGCAGGGTGCACTGTCTACTATGTCTGCAGCCTGGCCTGGCCATGTACTCACGTGTGGGGCTCCCATGCCTGGGGCCCCCTCTTGCGCCGTCCTGTAGGGTGAGCTTTGCAGCCGACAGTGGTGGGGGCGGGAAGGGCGGTGGTGGGGGCGTCATCAGGATGGGCACCTGGGGGACAGCACAGTCAGTCAGCGCAAGGGCATCAACCTGTGGACCTGGGGGTCTTGTGCCTTGCTCACCTTGCCCTCCTGGTGAAGGGAGCCAGAGGAGGCAGCTCCGGTCCCTGCTGCACTGGGGCCCAGGCCCCACAGGCCCCTGAGGTCTCCTCTGGGACCCATCGCTCACAGTGACCCCCACGCCCAGACTTGGGTGGCCCCATCCCAGGGCTGAGTTGCAAGCTGATTAGAAATTCCTAACTTCGGGGGCTGGGAATTTAGCTCAGAAGCATAAGCACCTGCCTTGCAAGTGTGTGGTTCTGAGTTCAATCCCTGCTACCGATAAAAAAGAAAAAGATGACAAAAAAACCCCCACAAAATTCCTAACTTCTTTGTAGGAAGCCGGCCTCCTGCTCTGCCTGGGCTTAGGACATGCAGGGCCACTGCTGCCCCCAGAGCCTCAGCCTCAGAGACTTACCAGAGCACAGGTGAGCACACACCGCCCAGCACCCTTGGCCACCTGGCCACGGAAAGGGGACGCAGCCCGCAAGTCTGGCCTCCTGGCCGTGCGCAACTCACTCCCCCGGAACCTGTGCCAGGAGGACCTCACACAGGCACTGAGTGCAGCGCGGGGGAGTGTGGCCCAGGGCCGTTGAAGATGCCGCCCCCACCAGAGGTGTCACATTAATATTTGAGGGCTGGGTGTCAGGTAGCTGGGCAGGCTGGGCTGGACCATCGTGGGATCCCTTACTGCCCATCCCAGTCCTTCATGGTGCAGAACCAGGGCTGGGGACCTCAGAAGATAGGGGCTTGGGATCTCTGTGCTCTGTGACAGGAGAGGCCAACTATACAGATGTCCCACCCACAGACGGGGAAACAGACTCAGGGGATATGGGGCTGGCAGAGCTGCAATCTGAGTTGTCCAGGGGAGCATGGGGCTCTAGGTAGAGCCAGAGGCAGGGTCTTGCTATTATTCCACCACCAGAGCTAAACCCTGACTGTCCCCACCTGGCCTCCAGCAGACAGAGGCAGAGGGCTTCCTGCTCACTCTGAAGAGAGGGTTCTGGGGGACACTGGACACAGCAGCTGTCTGGGCTCAAACTGTATCACCTGAGGCCTTGGGGTTGGGGGGCCCTGCCTAGCAGCCCTTGGCACCCCACCCCCATTGAATGTGCCCTGTAGATTGCTACCTCACTTGTGGGTGGCTCTGGGAAGGAGTGGGACAGGAACATGGGAAGCCCTGGGCATCCTCGGCTCCCTGAGTCTGGTCCCTGCTCTGAGAAGCAGCGGGATCAGCCTTGTCACTGTCCAGCCTTTGAGCCTCTCGTGGTCCCTGAACCTCAGGGAAAGGAGTCACCGCGTCCCTGCCTTGCCCAAGGCCCAGGACCCTGGGGTCCATGGGACAGCAGGAGGGGCAGGGATCAGAGCTCAGGCCCTGGGGTCCTAGCAGCCAGCCATGCATGTCCCCCAGTCCCAGCATCTGATGGCCACCCCGGACCCAGCTGCACCCCTCCCTGTGTTTTTGGTGAGACTAGAATGTGGCAGGGCACACTATGCATTATGCATTGAAGGTGGCTGTGGGGAGCAGGGTTACAGACCTGTAATGCACCCGGACTGAGAAAATCATGACCCGCCACCACGCCCGGCAGCCACTGCCACAGCTGAGATTCTGAGACTGCTGGTGGCTGAGCCCTTCCCATCCTGGGAGCATGACTCTGCTCTCTAGCCTCAGTTTCCCCTTCTACCCAAGGAGGGGATGCTGGGGACTTCAGACATGGAGCAGAGCCACTAAACAAGAGGGGCCACTCTCTGCCATGGGACAGCCCTTCCATCCTGCCTCACAGATGGAAGGATGCCTCACGAAGTCAAGGCTCAGAGAGCCTGCGGTGCCCAGTGCCCAGGAGGGCCAGCGGGCCTGAGGGAGCAAGGGCTCGGTGGGCGAGGGCTGACCCTAGCTGCAGCTGCCTCGCCAAGGAGCTTGGAAGGAGCGGGTCACCCACCCTTCACTGCTCAGAGCCCCCATGTGTGGCCAGGCACATGAGGCTCTGGGTGGACAGTGGGCACCCTGAGGCTCTGCAGACAGCAATGGGGTGGGCATCTCCTAGGGACTGCGCTCAACAGGATACCCAGCCCCACCCCAAGCAGCCTCTCCTGGGGCCAGGGATGGGGGCGTCAAGGCTGGAGTGTCAGGCTGTGAGGGATCTCATCACCTCCTGGGGGCCGACATGGGGACAGCCGGTGCAGGGCACCTCTGCATATTGTATTTCCATCAATATTGCATGGGGCCCAGCATCCCAGGGCCGGCCCGCAGCTGCTGTCTGCCCTCCCGCTGAGTGGGGGACATCGCTGGCAGTGTGAGGCAGGAGCAGGGTGGGCCCTGAGGGAGAAGACACAGCCTGGGTCTGGGCTACAGAAGGGAAAACAGGGGCACAAAGGCTCCTGGGTGGGGCAGGGAGATGCCGTGACCAGGAGTGAGCCCCAGGAAGCCCAACACCATCCTGGCCCTGCCCCAGGAGATGGGCAGGGCATCTAGGAGGGGCTGGGCAGGAGTGGGGCTGTCCCTGTGGGGCAGAACATCAGGGTGGGGACACCAGTGGTGGCCACTCTCCCAACCCCCTCAGCCACCACCCAGGGTGGGGCATGGCTGGGCTATGGAGGGTGCAGGGGCCAAGGCAGGGTGGCCTGAGGAAGAGGGTCCTTCTCTGGGCAGTGGCCAGTCCAACACTCAGTGGCTCAGTTACCTCAACAGTCACTGAAACTGCTCCCCACGACAAAACCAGGCCATGAAGTCCCCAGGGCCCGCCCATGCGGCCCCAGCAAGAGGCCATGTGAGGGCCGCCTGCCTGGGGCCAAGGAGAGCTGAGCCCTCGCTAGTCCTGGACACTCAGAAGGACAATGTCCCTGATGGCTCCACGTAGTCCTGTGAGATGCGCAGGGAGACAGGACACCTCTGTGAAGGAGAGGCCTCCCCAGGGTCGCTGCCTGGGCTGGAGTGTATGTGGGGAGCGCTGGAACAGAGCTGCCCTGCAGAACTGCTGAGCCGCACTGCCAGGCCCACCAACTGGTTAACCGTTTCTGTTTTCCCAGATGGGGACAGGGAAGACAGAGGCCATGGTCCTGGGCAGTGCGGGGTCCCCTCAAGGTCCCCCCAGCTGGAACAAGCACTTGCTCCCACCTGGGCACCCTTAGCTGCTGTGACGTCACCGGAGGAACTGGCCACGAGGGCCCATGGCTTGTCACAGAGCCTGTCCCAGCCCATGTTTTTCCCAGCCGCCATAGCCTGTTCCAGCACCCACAGCTGGCTGTGCACCCCCATTCCTGGGCCTGCAGGATGGACAGGGCCCCAGGGCCTCACCGGCCGCGCCATCTCCCGCAGGTACTGGGCACAGTCCTGGTGCCCATGGTACTCAGCCAGGTCCGCCGCTGTGTACCCATCTTCGTCCCGCAGGTAGGGGTCCACGTGGTGGGACAGCAGAGTCTGGCAGCACTGCGGAGAACGGGGAACCATATCTGGGGAGCTCACCAGGCACCAGGGGAGCAACAACCAAGGGCCCAGAGACCTGGCCCAGGAGCCCAGAGCCTCCCATCCTGCATGACAGTGACAGCCCCCAGGGAAGCCCTTTCCAGATGGGGGATGGGTGGCAGAGAGGCCAGCTCTCCAGAGCACAGCAGGGACCAAGCCTTCAGGGGCTCAGGGAGGAAGGTTTCATCTTGCTGCTCAGGAAGGTCTCAGAGGGGGCACCAGCCAGGAGGACAGGGGCAGGGGCAGGCCTGGCCCCAAGGGACAATGGGCATGGCAGGCCATGAGGGTGTGGGAGGAGGAGGGAGAGGAGGAGGAGGAAAAAGAGCAGGGGGCAGGGAGAGGAGGAAGAGGGAGGGGGGAGGATGAGGAGGGAGGGGAGGAAGGAGAGGAGGTGGGGGAGAAGCAGGAGAGCTTGGTCACAGTGACACAGCCTGTGGCCCCACACTGGTGAGCGCAGTGTGTCCCAGGTGCGCCCATCCCCTGCTAGGAGGTGTGGCCTGGGCAGACGTGAGGACTCGCTGAGCTCACAGCAGCTGCTGGCACAGAGGCACCATAACTACACAGGGCATACCCTTGGCGAGCACTCGGATTAGCAGGTGCCACCCTGGGGAACAGGGTAGTTGTGGGGGCCAGGCCTCCGCTCCCGGCTCTGGGCAGAGACCATGAAATCTCAAGGCCCCCGGATTCATCTGCAAATCACTTTCCAGTGATGCCTGGCACACGGGGAATGGGAGACCTCACCCGCCAAGGCAGCTGGCAGAGGGCTGAGAGCCACTAGGCCGAAAGCTGTGCCTGTCACACTTGGGGAACACAGAAGTGGAGCACAGAGATTCGGCCGGGGAACTGGTTGGGCCCGGGTCAGGGGTACACTAACAGAGAGAGTGTCATTGGGAGCAGTAGAACACCCGAGAGAGTGAGGGCCGAGGCCTGGCCCCCACCCCCCGAGGTGCTCTGGGAATGTGGGGGTCCTACAGGAGGCAAGACCAAGGACCCTGGGTCCTAGACTTACTGATCAGTCCATTCACACGGGCTGCTCCAAATTCAGGTTGGTTGTAAGTTGAGATTATTGTTCCCATAAGAAACAATGGAAATGCCCACAATGCTTTCCATAGTGTTATCGCCATAAAAAGGCTGAGATAATGTGTGTGATTTATAAAAACACCAATACTTCTCCTAGTGTACTCATCAAAAAGTCATAAAATGTGCCTGGTTTACCAGAAACTGTTTGATACTGTACTCACCACTCTAGGTGACCTCTTCAGCTACAGGAGGGAGGATGGATGGAGAAGTGACTGTGCAGGACAGTCCCCTTCCACAGGAGCAGCAGGGACCTGGCTCTCTGGTTGTCATGGATTAGAAACTGGTGGTCAACTTAACACAGTTGAATTTAATCGGCATGGTGCTGAGGGTAGAGGGCCCACCTGAGGAAAGCTGTTAGCATGAAGGGAGACGTGGAGAGGAAGAGAGGGGCCTTATGGGTTCTCCTGAGTGTTGTAGTTTGGAGCTGTTGGTTCTCCTGGAGGAGCTTGTCCTGCTGGCTCCCCGATATGAATGCAGCTGTTATCATCAGAGGAGCCAGGGACCTTATCACTGAGAGTGGCTGTGGTTCACTTTGGAGGAGCTCTGGTCCTTACATTGAACATCACTTCCTGGCTCCAGAGAGGAAGGTGTTGTTTAATCTCCAGGAGACACTGGTCATGCTGGCCTCCTGATATGTACCTGACTATTATCGTCAGAGGAACTCAGGACCTCACTGTCACTGTGGTACGTTGCAGGGTAGCCCTGGTCCTTATTTTGAGCATCACTTCTTGGCTCTGGTGTAGATCTCTCAACCTATTGGCACAGACTTTCTAGCTTCTACTGCTGACCTTTGGGACTTCTCAGTGCAGATCTGTAAAACAGACTTTCATGAGTCATTTGCTGTGGGCTCTGGGCCTCCAGTTGGACTCATGGGAGGCATTGTCATGGGCTCCAGGTCTTCAGCTGGACTCACACAGGACACTGCTGTGGGATCCAGGCCCTGGGCTACATTTTCTAGGTCGTTGGTGTTGTGGGCAGATTTCCTGCACTTTCTTGTACTTAACTCTGGGTGACCATCATAAAATAATATAAATTGTGTCCTGTATGAATTGTTCTCACATTCCTGACTACCACAAAAATTGGTACCTTGAAAGTGGGGTCATTGTGATGTTCCTGACCATGTAACTTAAGAGACCTGGGAATTAATTTAGAAAGCTTTTGAGGGACTGACCTAGAAGCAGCCCCTGTATGCTGTAAGCTGTATTGGAGACTCTGGTTGAAGCCTGCAAGATCAGAGTACTGATGGAAATGCTGCCGGTTAAGACGGAGCTTGGGAGGCTTCTGTTGAGGACTGCATTGGCTGCTGGAGTCCAGGTAGGATATTGTGCTTTGGCTGAAAGTTGTTCTGCTTTTTTCTTGTGTTTAGAGATATTATCTGGGTGGCAGAAAAATTTCAGTGCAGTCTACTGTTAGGATGGTAGCATTGTTACTTCAGAGAGCTTTTGACCAGATCTATGTTGGAAATTAGAGCAACGAGCTAGTAGAGTAATTTAAACATTTGGCCAGAAAGAAGGCTCCAGTGGAACTGTGGGTTGCAAAGACGAAACAGAGGAGAACATAGTTGTTTAGAGCAGGACAATGGAAAAATGAACTGAAGTCTCTCACCTGAAGGGAAGAATGTATTTGAATTGCAGGAAATTCTTGTTTTTCTGTCTTGCCATGCCACATTAAAAATTTAATGGGAAACAAGGACTGTGATTATAATAGCTCTTTTGATTTTAATATTGTTTTATAGACATAGACATGTGGCATAGATTTTCTGGCTTCCACTGCTCATCTGTGAGCCTTCCCAGTGCAGATCCATGAAACAGACTTTATAATCAAGTTAATCAAGGTATTGTGGTTTAATGTTGAACCTTGGTCACCCTTTGAATATTTTGTTTTTGGTGCAGGAATAAGTGTAATGAGAACTGTATATACATAATGTATTAACCTAAATCTGAATAGATCAAGACATGCTGATTTTCACAAATCTGCCGCTAGAGACTATAGTTTAAGGAAATGTGTGTGGTTATCAAGTTGACCAGGGGTAGATTATTAGGGATTAAAAACTAGTGGTCCACTTAGAACCAGAAGAATTAAATGGGCAGGGTGCTGAGCGGAGATGTTCCACCTGAGGAAAGTTGCCAGCATAAAAGGAGGTGTGGAGAGGAGGAGAGAAGCGTTGTGGGTTCTCCTAAGTGCTGTAGTTTGGAGTCACTGGTTCTCCTAGAGGATCTCATCATGCTGGCTTCCGATATGAATTTGGCCTTTCTCATCGGAGAAGCTTGGGACCTTGTTGTCACTGCGAATGAATGCGTTTCACTTTGGGGGAGCTCTGGTCCTTAGGTCGAGTGTGGCTTTCTGGCTCTGGAGGAGACAACGTGTGCTGTTTAATCTCCAGGAGATGCTGGTCACACTGGCTTCCTGACATGTACTCAGCTTTCTCATT